GTACATCCTGTGTAATAAAGTGTTTACTCAAAACCAAGCCACCCAAAATATTTTGTATTAAAGCACTGATGGTTCACAACAATATATTATTGCTGGAAAAATTCATTCTCACATTCCCCCAAAATATTATCAGGACAGGGGCATGCCTAAATTCATATTAGCAGATAATGGCATTGTTATTATCATGTCATTGTGCAAGGCACGCTTGTACATATCCTTGCTTTATTGACAAGAAGAGAAATAGTCTTTTGGACATTTTATTCACTGAGGATGAATCTAAGTTCTTTGTACATTTTTTTCAAAATAGCTGCAGTGATCACACTTTTTTTTTCATCACTATCTAGGAGAAACCAGTGCAAAACAAACATTGGCAGGTGGACTATTTAAATGACACCCTCATCTGTTTTAGCATAATATACTAAATATTAAACCATTCTTTGCAATAAATTTTATTAGCTCTTCTCTCAGTTCTATTCTGTGGGAAAGAAGGTATTTATTTTTGTGACAATTGCACAGGTCTCTTTTCCAAGAAGATTAATAGGTTGCATTACAATTCTGATCCCCACAATCCATTTTTGCTCAGGATTTTCATCTAAACATTCCACTGTTTCAGAGGATGGAGAGAAGAATCAAGGTTGGGTAATGGAGTAAATTAGAGATTGGGAAAGCATCAGAGACCTTTACTGAGACCAGGGACATTTTGAATGAGGAATCCTCAAGTTTACTGCGGAACAGAGCAAGGTTTTATAATTTGTGTCTTGTAATCTGGTTGGCGAATGACAGGAATTTCTTCCTCTGCCTGGCATTTTAAAGATTTTAAGAGTTCATAGATCGAATGCTTGAAATCTGGTTTTGATTTGAAAATTCAGCTTTATTAGGTGAATTCAGAGGTTTTCTGAATGGGTGCTTTAATGCTATTGCTGTACTTTCACAATGCTGGTAAGGCAAGTTTGGCACTACTGAGTTCAGGCACAATTCACAAGGACATACAAATATAGAAATTTTTGCTGTTGCTTTCCAATTTAACTACAAAACATGCAAAGTGTCATATCTGCAATACAATATTTATACATAATATTTAGTATTTACTGTAGTCATTTAAAAGTTCAAATATTCTCTCAGTAATCCTTACGATAATTGTTCTGTAAGATAAAGGCTTTTTCATAAGCTTTACATGAAAATCAACATCCGTAATGTAAGCCTTTGCATAGTGACCCAGAAAGTCCCAAGAAACTGTGGAGCTTATTTCTTACATAAATAGGCATCTGAAGCCAGTTGATTTTAGCTCAGTCTTATTCTTCATGAAAGGTACGGTTCTCTCCATGCAACAAAACTGAGGGGCAATGCTACTAACAATATTCTTAATAAAGCTTTTATACTGCCATAAAAGTAACATTGAATGAAATACGTGAACTAAAACAGGTGTCGAAAAAGATAGGAATGCCAAATTGCATTGAGCTTTGGGGTGACAGGAATATGTAGAGTAAGAAATGTTTGGTGATGGTGGTGGTGGTCACATTGGAATCAGATTTTAGGAAACAGAAGAAAATTGATTACTTTACATACTTTCCAAAATGTATTGGACTACAACTCCTGTTATTCCAAATAGCAGGGCATCAAAATGTCAGGTTGGGAAAGGTTATATTTGATAAACTATTCCTTCCCCACTGGTGATTTGTGATCCAGATTAAACTGATTTATTGTCCAACAGGCAACTTTCCAATTATATGAAGCAACTTGAATTCTTTGAGAGAACATCCATTATATAGGGCAACATCCCGCAGTTAATAAGATGACAGTAAAGTTGACACAGATGTTCCTTTTGTCATAGCCAATTGCTAACCAAAGGAATAGTATCTAAAAATACCTGCAGTGTAGGGATGTTATGGTATTGGACAATTCCTCTGATTGTTATAGTACTTAGATGCTGTAAATGATCATCTCAACACAGGAAAAAAAGAGGACTGAAAATCTCTAGAAAAGGAAGCAAGGGTTTTTTTGCTTGGAGAAATCTGTTGCGCTGTTATTTAGTATTGGTACTGTTTTCCCTTGAAAACCTCATATTGGGCCCATCTCTCTTCCTGCTTTCCAAATATTTTCTTCTTCTGTAGGAGAAAGAAAAGGCTTCTCTTTCTCCTTTTCAGGGTGCTTTAGAATTTCTGAAGGATTTCTTTGAGTGGTTTTTTTGTTTGTTTTTAAGATTTTTTATCCTGCCTTTATTATTTTTATAAATAATGCAAGGTGGCAAACATACTCCTTCCTCCTCCTATTTTCCCCACAGCAACAACCCCGTGAGGTGAGTTGGGCTGAGAGAGAGTGACTGGCCCAAAGTCACCCAGACGGCTTTCATGCCTATGGCAGGACTAGAACTCACAGTCTCCTGCTTTCTAGCCTGGTGTCTTCACCACTAGACCAAACTTATCACTGTGGGATGATAATGCTGTTGTTTTCTGATGTGCATCTCTTAATCACTTTGCAGCCATCCTGGCAGTGTGAAATTCTGTACTGAGTCCCCAGAAAGGATTTATCTCGTGATGCCTTTTGTTGGGTAGCAATAAAAGTCAAGGAGTTTGTAGGCCCACAGAGAGATGGTTGTACAGTGAAAATGTTTTGAATATCAAGCTGCAAGTCACAGCCAGCTTCCATGCTGAAGAGGAACAAGCCCAGAACCAACATTTTTGTGAAGGAGAGTAATACTGTCCATCAGACTTTCTCTTTAACAACTGGAATTTCCAGGAAAAAGGAAATTCCATGGAAACTAAAGCAGAAAAACATATGTTGCAGATGCTCTTTCTTAAGGAATAGATAATAAGTCTAGGAAGGAATTTGCATTAGAATATTTATGTGTATTTTTCTGAACTGTTTAGATTTATCATTTTTTAATTTCTCAATAACCGTCCATAGTTCAGCATTTTATGCGTAACCCAATTCTCTTTAGAATCTTTTGTGAATTTGAGTAATAGTTTCAATTTCTGCTCCAGTTTCTTCAAGTAAGTTATTATTTTATTTGTAGCAAAGCAGCCATATTACGGTCTTCTTGGAACATTGTACATTGCTGTATTTACTTCCTTCAACAGAGGATGTTGGCATTTAGATAGAGATAGAGATTTTATTTATAGCTTGGGAGATTGGTTGAGCTCCCAAAGAAGGGAGCTGGGTGCCAGGAGGTGGTGCTATGGTTTCTTTTTAAATCTTTACATTGCTCTATCTTTTTCACATCCTAAGGTTAAAGAGGTGGAAGCCAAGTGAAGTGCCACTTGGAAGATAGGTGGTGGCAGCAGGAACTGCTGAGTCACCACCCAAAAACAGGAGGAGGAATGAGTGTGTGAAGACCCAGAGGGCTCCTGTGAGATGCAGTTTGAGACCTCCAGCCTCCTACCTTATGGGCTCAGCCTGGAGTCTTTTTACTACTGAAAGATAAGACATTCACATCTAACCTTCAGTCACCTTCTAACTAAGGTTAAGGACACCATGCTCTATCTATAAACATAAGTCAAAACTGAATGATTAAGGATAGGTGAAAAATGAGGATGACATTTTCTCATAGCACTAATCTCTCACAACCTTCCAGAAACATCCAAGGAGTTTACCAAAATGCAAGTCTCTGGACTTGGACAAATTTATCCCACAGCCTTGAACTGTTCTTCTCAGAAGTGAGTGCAAAATAGATGCAGTGAAGAGATGACTGATGAAAATTGCATGGTAGCAGAACAAAAGAAATAGGACAGATCCACCTAAACTTCACACTTAGTAAACCTCTTAAAGGTCAGGCACTCTACCCTAATGCTTATGAATTACATACTGTTTGGCAAAACGTGTTAGCTAATAGATGAAAATGCTTTAATCTTTGGTGCATTTACATTTTGTTAGCAGATAACTTAAGCAGGCTTTTAGAGTAAGATTTTTCAAACTGGGTTTTGCAGAACCCTAGGGTTCCTTCAGGACTTTAACGGGTTCCACGAGAGATTAAGAGGCAAAAAACAGAACAAAATGCCAAACCCATCCCAACTCACTGGTTTTGGATACATACTCAGCCATCTACTCCCATCTTGATGATGCTCTTCCCCTTTTACTAGCTGTGCCAGAGTTCACTGTCACCAGTGTTTGCAAGTGGTCTGTTCACAAGGCACTGGTTGGTTTTCCAATCAGTGCTTCCACTTTGCTACCACTGAAGTCTTCTGCTTTCATACAAGCACATGTATAAATCCCAATGTCTTGCCTGCCCCCAAACTCCAAAAACATATCCCCAGACAGTCCATGTTTTCTAAAGGGCAACTGAGGGAGCTGAAAGTAAAGAGAATTAGAAATCTGGTGGGAGTTTCTACCTTGCTTAGCAGCCCAAGAGTGATTGTGATGAGTCTCTCTCTCTTCCTCTTTGCTTTCCAAATGGCAGACCCTATCTGTGTGTACGTGTAATAATAAGTAGAAGAAAAGCCCCCCAGAGCATAACTGGCTTTATCTTGTTCTCCTTAACCTTTTTATGTAGGTGGTCTCCACACCAGGAGACAAACTTGATTGGGCGGGAGATTGGAGCCCCGGAAGGAAAACGGACGTCTCCTACCTGAATTGGGAGGGTTGGCAGGTACAGCATGTGCTCTTATGTGAGTCTATGGGAACATCTAGTTCTCTTCTCCCTCACAGCATTGGAAGTGTCCCCACGAGGTCTGCTTAACCATCCAGTTGGCAACCTGAGCACATCTATTGAGGAATAAATCTCATTGAGTCATGCGGGAATTAAAGAAACTTTTGATTCCACTGCTTCGCTTTAGGGCATGTGTTGCCTTAAATGCCTTTGGAGTACGACTTCCTCTGGAGTCAATATACATGAAAATTACATTTGCAAAGGCGGGCAGACAGGAAGAAGATGAGTGCTGCAGTAGTTTCAGCCAGGCATTCACAATGGAAAAAATCCATGACATCTGTGCACAACTAGAATATATATTGCTCCACATATGCATATTTATTTTGTTTTTTGATGAGACCTAATCATATTTTTACAGATATGGAGCATTAGCTAAGAAGTGGCTTGACTGCGGATGGGACAGAAAAAGATGAAACAGGAAAGTGAAACAAATTCCAGCACTAGTGTTGCTGCTCTGATGGCATGCATTTTCAAAAATTAAGCATAAGCGCAAGTAAGACATTGAAATTGAACAGAGCTTTATCAATGTTGGTTTTATGTGGATTGGCAAGAAAGATGAACCAAATGAACTGTGTGTTGAATGTGAGCAAGTACTGGGTAACGGTAGTCTGAACCCTGCAAAATTACAAAGACATCTGGAAACCAAACATCCCAATTTGAAAGATCAAAGTCCTGAATATTTTTTAAAAAATGTGCAGAACTCCATGAGCATTTCATACATTCTTTGTGTAAGCACAAGAAAAATGTACCAAGCGCTGATTTGTTTGGTTGAAATATTAACCTCTCAAATAATTGTGAAACTCAACTTTTATTTTTTTGTACATTGGAAATGTTAATTTTGCATTTATAATGAACACATTTCATTTTACTGCCAGTTTTCTATCACTGGTGCTCTGCCTTTTGATCAAGATTTCTGTAACTTTTTTTTTAAAAAAAACAAATAGGTTCAGCAGCTGAAAGAGTTTGAAAGCCCCTCTGTTTTACAGCATGTTACTTGGTCTATAAATTCCTTTCTTCTAGCAGTCCACGCAGAGAATTGACTGAATAACATGTACATCTTATTAAGGTTCACGCAAATTAAACTCCTGTTGTTAAAGTGGTAGAAAAACATTCTTCTGGAGCTCAACCTCATCACTTTAAACAGAAGGTTAATTCACTTTAGATTGCTTTGGACAACAACTGTTACACATTAAACTTGGAAAATTACAAAAGATTTGAATGTTTCCCCATTGACTATAATTGGAAATCAACAGCCGCTTTTGTTGTTGCAATGAGAATCAGATGAAACTATTAGGAACTGTCTAGGAATTAGAGCCTGAAAGAGTAAACGTCTAGTATCAGCTCATATCTAGCACTTTCTTTTTTATGTAATAATTTTATTGAGCATTACAATTAAATAGATAACTAATACAAAATAAAAGAATAAAAGAATAAAAAGAAAGAATAGAAAGTGCAGAAAAGAAAGAGAAAAACAAAAAAAGAAAAAAGAAAAGAGAAAGAAAAGAATATATATAAAAAATAACTTCCTCCTTCATAACAAGTAGAAACAATTTTAGTAACTTATCATCTTCTCTTAAAATACAACAAATGATTTGTTCTTCCCATATCTCATCTCTTATCTATAAACAAATCTTTAAAGCCTCATTGTTTAGCCCTGGTCATCAAAAGTCCATTAAGGGTTACCAGAGATAATAACATATCTATTTTAACCTTGATCAAATACACTAACTTTATATTCTTTCCCTTTACTTTTAACTATTTTGATCCTTAATCCCCTCAAATAAAGTCCTGGAACTTGATTTCTTCCCATTTTTTTCTTTGTCCCTTCTCACAAAATTCTTCATAACTTTAACACGTCTATTTTGTAAATCTAGTATAAGAAAGTTATCCAGGTCACTCTTTTGATTTGGTAAAACATCAACCAGTTTCATTTGTATATCCAGTCTAGCATCTCCTTCCACATCATTCCCAAAACCCATCATTTTTAGATCCTCTTTCAAATCAGACTCAGTCCTATTTGGTAAAGCTTGGTCCTTTTCCATATCATCTTCTAAACATTGTCTATAAAGGCAGACATTTTTAAAATTAACTTCTGGATTTCTTGTTCACAAATATCCTTCAATATGTCCACTGTTAGAGTATTTTGCTCCATTATGTATTAGTAAGTAAAATTTAAGTGTTCATTTCCTTTAATTGTAATTGTAATTAAATTAGGTCCTTCTGGTTTCCTCCAGTATCCAACCTTCAAAATCCCATCTTATCATGTGTTTTTTTTAAGAATTCAAGACAACAGCATTTTCCCACAGGAAGGATTCTTATAATTAATTTCAAAAACTTATTTCAAATCCATCTGGACCCTTAGTCCATTTGTAACTATCCAAAATCAAAGTTCTAATCACCCTTTTGCTGTTTATTAAAAAAAAAAAAGATTTTTTTTTAAGTCCTTAAACTTGTATTTAAAACTTCTTTCATTAAGGATTGAAGGAAACTCACCCAGTGTAATAAAACTTGCCATTATGAAGGTTCCTAATATCCAAAAAGCAGTTAACAAGCAATTTCTAAAGGTGATTAAGAAAGGAAGTATGCGAACCCTGTGTCCTTTATGAAGGCGCCAAACAGCGGTTTGAGCAAGGTGGCTATTTCCTTGTCTCCCAGCGCTCTAAATCTGCCAGAGACCACAATTTTGCAGTCTTCCCATGGGGAGCAGCTGTCTGAAGCACTTGTGGGCAATCTCAGTCCTCTCCTTATCCAGAGAGGAATTATGAAGAGTTGACTTTTCGCTCTGGCTGTCAGGGAGCCATCTTCAGTTCACCATTTCTTCTCCTGAAGTCCTCATATCTAGCACTTTCCCAAATGCATACAGTTCAAACTTCATATGCCTAAGGCAAGGGTTCATGGGTGTTTATTTATTAACTTATTTAATGATGAAAGTTGTTAGCTGCCTCAATCCCAAAGGCAGCACTGGTTTACATATTAGGATTAAAAAAGAATCACAAAGCATAAAAGCCACAACAATAGTGACCAGTAGCATATGGGGGAAGAATGAAGTCAAAACCCCAATAACAGCCAAGGCAAGACTCCAAACTAAATATCAGGAAGCAGATCATAAGAAACTCTGCTGCAGGACCTGTTGGAAGAGCAAGTCTTTAAAGATCTGCAAAGCATAGGAAGGTTGAGGCAGGGAAATGTGAGAAGGTGCTGCTCCAGACAAGGTCTATCTCCTAGGTCCTGCAAGATGAGATTGTTTTTCAGATGGGAGCCAACGTGAGCCAAGTCAATCAGATTTCAGTGGCTAGGCAGGTACAACAGGCCAAAGACAGTCCTGTTGATACCCAGGTCCTATCTGCATTTATGAGCCAGTCCAAGGTTTCTGCCAATGGCTTCATTGGTACACACAGGAACATGTCTGATGGTGCAGTTTGACGATTAGTATTTTCAGAATTTCAGGTACTTTGACCTGTGTAGGCAATACATTTCAAAGTTATATTTTTAAGGAGCTGCTGCTGAATTCAGATTACTGTTCAGTATTAAGGATTAATATGAATTGCATTGTATTGTTATCTCCACTGACTGATATTAATTTAGCAGAACAGAAAAAAAAAAAAAGCTTGGTTTAACGATTGGCTGAAATATATTAGTTTCTTTATAGGTGCAGAACAGAAAAAAAAAAAAAGCTTGGTTTAACGATTGGCTGAAATATATTAGTTTCTTTATAGGTGCAGAACAGAAAAAAAAAAAAAGCTTGGTTTAACGATTGGCTGAAATATATTAGTTTCTTTATAGGTGCAGAACAGAAAAAAAAAAAAAGCTTGGTTTAACGATTGGCTGAAATATATTAGTTTCTTTATAGGTAGGTAGAATTGAAACCTGGTATGTGAAAATAAGCCTTACTACTTTACCCAAATATTACAAATGGGAGGAAAACACATACAAAAATCCATTAAACTTTGCCTTCTCTGGGACTCCAATTAGCTAAGTTCATTCACTGGAAGAAAAACATGAAATCTGAAATAATTTTGCTATAGGTATTTTAATCAAGAAACCACTTTCCTAGATGTTTAACTCAAGACTCAGAAAAAAATATGCATTTAAATTGAGATTAGAAATATATAACCCAGGAGTTTGTTGTTGCTTTGCACTCTCTTATGTGCCATTTGAAAAGAACATGATACTTCTGCTTATTTCATTTTTATTGAAATATGATTATTAAGAATTGGAATTATTAAAAGAATACAATGCACAGCATGGGGAATTGATAAGAGAAATGTATCTGTTTGTTAGGAAAATGGATTATATAGGCAACTGTCCATTATGGAGCACTGACCTTAATATTCCCTGCAGAGTTTAAGAGGGAGGTTCACCTCTTAGCCCCTTTCCAAGACAGGACACACATGTTTTGGTGCCACACATACTTGGGAATTCCAGGAATGCACAAGGGGTACAGACTTCATGTTGCCCACCCCTGCACTAAAGATCTACCTCAGCCTTCCTGAACATAGTGCCCTCCCAATATATTGGTGTACCATTCTCATCATCCTAGCCATGCTATTTTAGAGTGATGGGGAATGCTTTCCATGTATGCCAAGGGCACCCTGTTGGGGGAGACTGATTTACATTGTGCAGTCTAACAAATTGCCATTGACCAGGACATGCAAGTAAAGACAGAAGACCAAAGAAATACCCCAAACTCACTGCAACAGAAGTAGGTTGGGAAATAAAGAAGACAGATCTCCTGAACCAGAGCAGGTTCATCAAGAGGGAAAGTCTACTTGCAGCACACAAAGGCAGAAGTGTATGTGAGTGAGGGGTAAATGATCATCCCAGTCTTGTCTCTAACTTTTCTCTCTTTTCCCATGTAACATGATGGATCTATCACTGAGTAAGCAAACTAGTGCCCTTTGCATGTCTTAGTTTCAAATCCTATCAGCTTCAGCCAGCATGGCCAGTAGGTATGGATAATGAGAGATACGGTCTCCCAAACATGCAGAACTTCTGAAAAAGTGCATCCATTCCCTGAACTGCTCTTTGCAGATCCTAGCTTTCTCCAAGCTCAACATTCATTTCTGGTATGCCTATGAGAGTGAAGAACTTTGGTTTGTTTTATTCCCATTTCTATTAACTTGCTTGTTTACTTTGTCTGTTCTCTTCATTTCTTTCCTTCATGGAATGCCTACTGTATTTTTCCGTCAATAAGACGACCCCATGTACAAGACGACCCCCACTTTTCCAACCCAAA